TTTGGAAAATTTTAATGGGTGTTATTAATTAACTTTAAGAATTATGAGGGGTCGGATACTTATGACCGCTACTGTATCTAACACATATCGATATGCAAATTATTTTATTAGAAATATTTTATCAAGAAAACAAATATTGCTATCTAGAAAATGAATTAGACGCGCTAAAAAAAAATAAAAAAAAATCTAAGCAAATTAATGTTAATTTAAGCAAATATATTTAACTTGTTTAAACGTACCCAAAAGTATAGAGTTAATGATCGCCGTTGATTATGTATCTATATATAATTGATCGTATCTATAAATAATTTATCGTACCTTACCTTTTATATAATATCGTACCGTAATTAAATATATATTTGAGGTACAGAACATTAGTGAATTTGTCTCTGAACGTAATTCTTTAAGAGATTACATCAACAGTTATACTTTTCGTCGTTTTATTAGCGACTTTTGTGGGCAAGTTCGGGCCCTAGAAATTTTCTATGATGATTTGTTGAAGAAACTTAAACGTGGAACAAATAATGTAGATTACGTACATTATATGTCACATGTCAAGGAAGAACTTATGGATCGATACAAGTTTAATTTGATGACACTGTAATCCCAGCAATTGCTCATGCCATCCTTAATATCCCTGTATCTAAACATGATAAAGCTGATAAAGATGGGAAAGTATCCTATATGATCTCTTATCAGAAGGTATTTTAAATTTGGAAAAAATAGCTGACAGTACTTCCTTTTATGCCCGCATGCCTTATATGTGGATTGTCATATTAACATCATATAACAAACCCTGTGAATCTTGGGAAGTCATGATTCAGCAAGATTCTCATGTTTTTTTGGGAAAACTTTAAATTTTTAACATGAAATTTTGGACTTTACAGTTTACATTTCTTTCAATCTTAAATAAAGATGTAACAATGAAAGATCTCTTTAAGGGCACATATGATCTTAATGAATTTGAGTTTTTAGAAAATCAAGAAGGTGAAATTAAGCTCCCTGACGAAAGTTTTATAAAATATCAGAAACTTAAACATCAGTATTCTCATACATCACATAATAAACACTTATCACTTTGTACCGTATATAAGAATTGTAAAGGAGCTCCATTTGATTTTTTTTTCCGTTAATAATTACCTTTTTACAATCCAGTAAAGTCTTCAGACGCCACAACTAATCAACCTCAGACTTTGAGCAAAAAATAGTAAAAGATGAGTACAATAAGACTGAAAAGGTATATAAGAAATTAAAAAAAATTCTGAACTTAAGGATTAGATGCTATTCATATGCATCAATGGATCTAAGACTGAAGATGCTTTAGACTTATTACAATCAAATTGTCTTGTAGTATATAAAGCAAATTTTAAGAATTTTTATGGCTATATGTATTTTAGTCAAATTGAATTTTTTGAAGGTATGAGTTAATGACTTATGGTTTAAAATATCTACTATTATATAACCTTTTATTATTATTTCATATAGCCAATGATAAATTAAATGCTAATATTGCTTTAAAATATGAACTAAAAACTGTTAAAATGATAAAAGAAGAAACTGTGTATGAAATATATAATAAAAGGCTATATGATAATGAAGATGATCTATATAGTAAAGTTAGTGAATAAACAAGCAAAGAAAAGGATTGAGGTCATAAAAAAAATTAATTAGTGAGAAGTTAATTTCTACTTTAATTAACATTATTACATTTCTTTGCGTAATAACAGTAATAGAATAATTTTGTAGTTTTTAACTGTAACGATTGGTTAATTGTTCTATTAACAAAATATATATAAATAAATAATTATTATTATAATAAGTATTAATGAAGGTAAACAAAATAAAATATTCAGTTGCAATTTTAAGAATATATTAATATTATTATTGTAATATAGAAAATGCAATAATTATGTATGAGTTATTGGAAATTAAGAATAGAAAGGCTATTTTACATTTATAAAAAGATAAATTTAGACATGAGTATAGGATTCTAGAAAATAAATATAGAGGTAACATGTTTATGTACTTAGCCAATTTAGAGAAATTTTCTAAAGTAAGATTTTCTATTTGCTTATATTTAGCTAAATTTTAGCCAATATAAGATAATTAATTTGCTTAATTTTTGACTATTTTTAAAATACTAAGAGACTTTATTTACTTATTTTTAATGTATTTTCGTTGATGATATTATGATTACTAGTTTACCATAATTACAAATTAGAATGACTGAAAGAATTATTAAAAATAAAAAATAAAAATGTTAGAAAGTTTAAAGAAATAAAGTAAGAAACAAAAAAAATAAAGCAAACAAAAGAAAGCATTATAAAAATGACCTATTCATAATCATTTAAGGAGCATGAATTGAAAGAGTTAAAAGAATGAAGTTCTAAAAAAAATATAAAGAAAATTGTTAAAATTTTGAAGTAACAAAATGGAAAAACAAAAGAAATGAAAAAAAAAAAACAAATTTACTATAATTAGCTACTAAAAGAACCTATAAAAAAAGAAGAAAATTATATTTATTTATAAGATCAAAATATAAGGCTGATGGTTTTTCAATTAGTCTTATTATCAGTCTTATTGTATTAAAATTACAGTCTGTTTTATAAAAACTAAGATCAGACTGAATAGTATTGAGTAGAACTAATGACTATCTTTAATTAATAGTCATCACATTCAGATATTAAGTGAAAAAAATATGACTTATTTATATCTAATATTATTTTTTAGATTATTTATACAATTATATCAAATGTGTATATAATAAAAGGAACTGATATTGAAATTGTGATTAAAGATATTTGTAAAATATCTATTGCATATCTAGAACTAAATTGAATAAAAGGTATGTTTAAAATCAAAGGAAATAATAATTATTAATAAATAATATCTGATTTTTGATTTACTTTATTAGGCCAAAATAAGCGAATAAAAAATATTCTACCTGATAATTTTAATTTATTTGAATGGACTTGACCAGCTTAAGAAATTCCTAATATTAGAAAATGAATAAAATTTTCATCATCACAAATAGCTAATTTGCAAAAAAAGCAAATTGAAATTCCAAATCCCACAGTATAAACTCATATAATTTCTAAAAATAAATGGATAGTAGCTATGCTAAATATATTAGGTGATAAAATATATCTTATCTTCAGCTTTATAAATATATATCCAACCTGTACTTTATCTTTAATCTAGGTATTGATCTTAAAAGAACAAAATATTATTTGAATTAAAAAAACGAAATATTATTACCATGATTGCTAAAAGATGAGTTGATTAAAGAATTAGAACTTGCTTTAGAAATACAAAGAGGTAAGGTAAAGTTCATAAAAATTATTGGAAAAATGTCTAATTGCTGCTTGTTTTGATCAAAGATATTCCTGAGAAACAAGAAAATCAAAATGTTACATAGTAAATAGATTAGTTTTTTAATAATTTACAAATTAAAATCTTACCTTTCCAATAGGAATTCCTTTTATGATAGTCTGGATGGGCGCTAAAAAGCAAACAAAATATGGTAAAAAAGGAGTGAAAAGCGCATATCTAAAAAAGTATGGGAACTTTTTGAAAGATATTTCTTAGATGTTGATAAAAGTAAAAGATTTACGTCTACTACAATGCTAGAAAGTCTAAAGAGTAAAGTTGAGGAAGGAGAATTAGATTATGATGAGATTCCAAAATTACAAACTATTCAAGGGTGGATCTTTCGTTATTCAACACAACATCGTCAAAAAATGGCGGAAAAGTCAGTTGATATGTTAGGAGCAACGAGTGCATAATAAATAAATAATAATGTAATAAAAATAAATACAAAATAAAATGTTATAAAATGGTTTGAAAAGAGAATATATAAAAAAAATTATAAAAAAAGTAAAATTGAAATTCCGCATTATTGAACTGCACGCTCAAATCGGCTTGGAATCTATCTTTCCCTCAAATTAAAATCGTCAAGAATATTAGCAAAACATCGATAGATAGAAAATAAATATCAGGTGATCCTTTAATGTGTCAAAAAACAAAAATTCACCCAATTTAATAGTAAATTTAACACGGATTACGAATTAATATATAATTGATCGATTGAAATTATAGTAGAAATTATCTGCAGATAAATTTTTTTAATTTACACATTATTTAGCTAACAGATATCTGCGTTATGCAAATTTTTTCTTTTTTCTGTACAACTGCTAACCTGCTTTTGTCCCACTATATTTTTAAATGTCTGATCCCTTGGTAGAAGACGTGGAAAGATTTAGTACAGAACAACTTATTAATTTTTTACGAACAAAGAATTTATACCTCAACAACAATGACTATGGAAAAATTCGTGATGAGAGGGTCACCGGTTTTGATTTCCTTCAATTAACTAGAGAAATACTTCGTGCTGAACCTTATAGATTCCCTGATGGACCAGCAAGAAGGATCGCATTATTAGTTAATAGTTTGAAAAGCCACAGTAAGTTCTATATTCAATGGACGTCTTTCAAGGCAGTTAATTTTCGTAGTAACTAAAGCTATTTTTTTTAGGGCTTCTTAGTCAAGAACAAGCGTTATCATGTATTCCGTTACCTATTGGGTATCATCCAGATGTTATTACTTCACAGAATACTACAACGAAGATTCTTCTTTGGGATGATCTTTTCGAGAAAATTAATAAGTTTCACTTTGATAATGAACCGAAATTTGAAAGACCACAATTTACCAACTTCCCGTCTTGTATTAACGAAGAGGATATTCGCAGTGCTTTTTATTCCAATATTTGTCTAGTTTAAACGATCTTTTGCCAAATTATGAATTTTCGAGACGACCAGTTCCTATCGCTGGTATACCGGAATTTGTTACCATGTTTGCTTCATTTGAATTTATCGCACCAATCGAGATCAAGAGGGAACACGTTTTTCAATTGTTGTTACAATCGAATGATGAACAAACATTCTGGATTTTGATGAAACAAACGAACGTTATGAAATGAACGAACATGTTATTCGACAGATTTTTACCTATATGGTAGAAGCTCAACTTCAGTATGGTGTATTATCAACCTATCAACATCACTGGTTTCTGCGCCGACCAGCTGATGAACCGTCAGTACTTTATATTTCAAAGACCCTTCCGATTAATTCTCCGGTCCTTAAAACGTATGCATATATGGTTCAGGTTTTATGTGCAGATCACTTTTCTAAAAATCCTATTATAACTACCGATAAAAGAAAAAGACAGTCAGTCTCCCAATCTGAATCAACTACTAAATCAACTAAGGGAAGGACGACAGTCAAAGCTTCTAAGAAGAGACCTTCTCCTAGTACCTCGGCCGCAGCAAATGAAAAAAGACAGATACAGAAACCTATTCAGAATTTTGGCTTAGCAGATTTCAAGTATAAGAGTATATTAGGACAAGGACGAAGTGGAAAGACACTGCTATGTGAATTCTGCGGAAATACAATTGCTTTGAAGTGTGCTGATTTATCGAAAACCCCACATGTCCTGAAAGAAATGCAACAAGAAGTCAATATTTATAAAATTCTTTCTGACATTCAGGGAATTCACATTCCAAATTTGTTGTGTTATGGCTTTTACGGTGGGATGTATTATGCTATTGGCATGACTCTTGTTGGTTCTGCTTTAAATAATTATAAACATATAACAGAACGGCAAAGGGTTATGGGTCTTCTTGCATTAAAGGCAATTCACGATAGAGGTGTACTTCCCAATGATATTCGTGAGGAAAATATTTTGCTTGATGATACTAATGATGTTGTTTACTTAATTGACTTTGGGATGGGAAGTTATCATTGTGACGCTAAGAAAAGTCAGAGTTTGTTTGATGAAGAGAAACGTAAATTGACTCGTTTGTTTGATTAGATAGCGTAATTGTTATCAAGTGATAATGATTTTACAATTAGTATTTAGAATTCTATAAATGTATATAACTATGTAGATAGAAACTTAATGTTTCACGATCAGCATTAGCTCTTGCAATTTATTTTTATCAATTAAAAGGAAAAATCGATAACGCTTGTTAATTGCAAATATAAATACATGATTAAGGTTACATATTATATTTCTGATCCAGAACTTAATTGTCGAAGCTTAACAAAAATTTGTGTGATGGAAATGAGGATCATGTGATTTCTATAACTGATCAGACAAAAGCGAGCAAGGAAACAACCAACCATCAGTTATACCAGTTAACATTGACGCTTAAATAGTATCATGTGACTGGCGCAGTAATTTTCGCCCAATTTTCAGAAATTTTTTGATATATGTGACCTATTCTCGTTAGATCCGAAAAACTGGATGCAGTAAAAGTCTTGATACGAAGAATCTTATTTTCCCCTATCGCATTAAAGATATCAAATATTTCTGGCCTCATTTTTTTGAAAATAATGAAGAAAACATTTTGTTAAAATTGAATTTTGTTTTGAAAAAAAGCATTACATATTAGTTAATATTAAATTTTCAAATAAATGTAAAATTTAATTTCCTCTTAATCATTCATCTTCTTCATCATCTTCTTCCTCATCTTCTTCACAATCATCTTTTTCATCATCTTCATCACTGTCTTCCTCATCATCTTCTTCATCACCTTCTGTTAATTGATTGAAAGTCAATACGGAACATTATATCAAATATCTAGATATCGATTCCAATTTATTTTGCACCAACGAACTGCATCATAATTAAGACGAGAAGGACAGTAACCAATATATTGACCTCAATGTGAACAATCATTTAATGGAGTTCCTACTGGTATTGAGGTGGCTCTAGGGTTTGGAATATCCGAATGAAGTATTGTGCCAAGGGCAGGAGCTACTATAAGAAATTCGGTTCTTGCACAATGGGTTTAGCGAGTTGAATATTTGTCATTGCATGTTCGCGATCTTTTTTCGGTTGTACACCACCTATAAACATCTAATAGTTAAATATATTTCACTAAGAAGCAGAATCAATTATATCAAATTTAATGTTAACCTCAACCCAGATTGAAGATGGTGGGCATGAGTAAAGGATAGGATAAGTTCTTTGTTTGTTGGTTAGTTTCTTTCGCCATGCGGGATATATTCATCACCATTTACAATTCACGTGACTTTATTTCGAAACCACCATTGATTTAGAAATTGGTCTTTAAGATCATCCTTCAATTCTTCATGCCAATTTCTACTGCGAACTTATGACAAGAGATTTTGGTTCCAGTTCTACATACTGTTTCCTTGTAATCATGTTTTTGCTTTCTCGTACCATTAAAAATGCTTCATTCAGTTTGCGTTATAAGGCGACCCAGCTTTCTCATAGTATCTCATCTGGACTACGACATAGGTCGGAATTATATAACAAGCAAAGGCTTGAGCAACTTGAAACATTGCTTACGACACCACGTAAAGAAAAGATGGTTAGGCAATCCTTTAGACTTGAACAAGTTTTAAAAACTGCGCAAAAATTAGCATTAGCAGAAGAAAGAGATGACATTGTAACAGACTTACTTTCAGCGTTTTCATCAGACGGAGTTGTAAGTATAGGGATACCCAGCTGTAAAGTGTCAATATAATAAATATTTTATTTGTACATAGGTTAAATTTTTTTCAAGCATTGAGATCGAAGAAATACCTCAGCTTGAAGTCAAAATGGGTGGTTATTTAATTTTCAAGGATGAAATAGCATTGAAACCTTCAAAGCTTTTTGAAGATGTAATGGAAAGGATATTTCGACGCTGGAACCTAAGTGTAAGTTAAAATCAATTCATTCAAACACTTATTTCCAATTTATTTTAACTGTATTTCACAATTTTTAGCTTGAAACTGCAAGAAGGACGATAGTTGATACATACTTATTGGAAGCGGTTGACCATAAGTATGATCCAAAAACTTACGACACTAAAAAAGATAAATTAGCAATATATCCAGAGTATTATGTCAGACCCCAAAATTTTGAAAGAGATTTGACTTTAAGGGGATCAATTGACTATATTTCTGCTGAAAGAGCAGAACCTAATAATCGTAAGTTGCTAATTAGCGGGCTAAATACTCTGCTCTCAATTTCTTCTAACTACTCTTAACTACTTTAGTGTCACTTCAAGCCGGGCATAGTTTACCAAGCAATTGTGTATTCTGTGCTGTTGAAGCAAAGAAAGATGAGTCATTTGCTCAAGGTACAGGCGAACTTCTTGGACAAATGAAGGCGCTACATAAAAGAGAAAAGTATGATCTTACATCCTTCATTGGATATTATTTTGTTAAAATTCTAATGTTTTTACTTGTGATATAGGAAACCAATTAACGGTGTGCTTACTGATGGGTTGAGATGGATGTTCTACCATTTCGATGATAACATGTATTATGAAAGTGAAATTATGTATTACAAATTTCATTCTAATATTATATTGGGTGCATTACACTATTGGGTCCGAGGCGAAATTCCTGCAGATAATCTATTTGAAAAAGTAAATCAAATCGACTAAATCATTCATACGTTGAGACTACCTATGACTTTCATGACTACTACATCGCATAATCGAATGTTTGCGTTTTCTGCATCACATCATTGAAAAAATAATAAAGAAAGCATTTAATAAGATCGTATAAAACTTTATTCTGTTCGTGAATAGTCACGTGAAATCGATCACCTGAAATAAAAAAAAACTTGCCGAATGAATAGGGGTTGACTCGATTTGCATTTATTTCAGTATTCGGGTGTGGATATTTTTCCAGCAAATCATTATTTCGCACCATCCACTCACTGCGTTCGTGACCAGAAAAAATGCAGATCAGAAAATTATCTTTCTTGTTTGAATTTTATAAATAAGTTATTGTTTATCTTTTTTTTTGAATATTTATGAGAAAAAAAGCAGGGATACGTATGCTAAGCATTTGTCATTTTTATTGATTTGCAAGAGGCATTAACAATGCAGTGCGTAATGAAATGCTGATCCAGAGGCTCCTTAGCTCCTGCGGAATTTTAATAGTGCTATAAAATCAGGTCAGTTGGCTATAAGCCTGGTAAGTTAAACTAATATGTCGAACACAGAATCAACCAAAGATCAATCTTACCAAGTCCCAGAGAGACCTCGCCCATCTCTTACCAACCATAGAAACCTTGCCTATAATATCTTGAAGTATCTTAAAGATGATATGGTTGGGATAAAGAAATTCCAAAGCTAGAGCCATATTCTGAATGTACTATTAATATTTATCATTACCCATCAAAGTGCTTACCATCCTTTCTTGCGAACATATTTTTTACAGATCGTGCATTGAGAAGCAACTTCTATATACCAAACCAGTGCATGTTTTTTTTTCCAATTACAGGAAGACGATCAATATTATCATAAATCCAAATTCTACTAGGAAAAGTTTATAATTATTTCAAATATTGAAATTTCAGCTATTTTTAACTTGATGGGTAAAAAGATTCTTCTAACTTCACTAACAATACTGGAGAATCAATAAAGGATGTCGAGAATACATTAATTCAAAAAATAGCAACCCAGTTAACATATACCAAATGTGCTGAATAAAGATAGTCCCCATAATTATTTTCAAATTTCAATTAAATTGCAACTTAATTATACCATAAGGAAATTTAATTGCGTCACAAGTTACAACTCAACTGCATCATTTTTTTAATTGCAGTGACCATCTTTAATGCTAAAGAAATTACTAAAGATTTTTCTCAAGATACTGTCTTTTTATCTTGTAAACATACCGTGTATTATGATTACATTAACAATTCATACAAAAAGTACTTTACCTGCCTAGCTGAATATTTAGAAATGTTTTTAGTAAAACAAGCCATACAGAGAAGGTATTTTAACAAATCATCTGCTGAAAATACCTTAAGAAAAAAGATCAAATCTTTGGAAAGAAATAACTCATCTTTATTGAAATACTTTATTTAAGAATTATTAATTAATACTTCTGAAGACTATATATTATTACAACTAGATTCCTTCACTTTTAATATAAATGATTCTATCAATTTTTTCAAATTGTATAAAGATATCCTTAATACTAAAGATGCTAGTAAGAAAACAATTTAAGATTTGATCTTTTACTATTTTCATTTTAATAAGATATTAAAGGATTAATATGATTTTTTCTGAAGATTTAATATTAAGCGTATATCCTAAAATGAAGTTAGAAAATAGATTTTCAAATCAGTTAGTAAAAACTTTACTTTAAAAAACAAAGAAAAAAGCTCAAAAGATTTATGAAATACAGTCATTTTCCTTTATAGTTACATCCCTTAGAATCAAAAATAAAAAGTGTGATTATAATAAAAGTTACTATATAGGGGAGATTTTTATATTTATTATTAAGTGTTAATTCTGAAAAGGTGTGATTATAAAACATTGTAATTATAAAGGGGTTTTTTATATAATATTAATAGGTATTAATTTTTATAAAATGTATACTTATAATGAGAGATTTATATGATGTAATTATACAGAGAATGATTATAAAGAGAAACGACTGTATTTAGTGAGTTGAAAGTTAAATAAGATTAAGCATATTAGACTTTTACTATTTTAACATTAGTAAGCATATCTCAGAATAATATAGATTATATTTTGACAAAGCTTTCAGCTTCATAAGAATTTATATTTACTGTATTATAAGTCATATGACATTATGACAGGCTGTCATAACTTTAGTAGCAATTCTTACCTATGAAAAAGTTTTATATTGATAATTTACATATATAAATATTAATAAAGTTTTACCTATAATTCAGGCATTTATTTTTTATATATATGTGAATGTGAGACATATAGAATGATAATAAATAAAACTATAATATAATACAATTCCCAATACAATTCCTACTACTAAATTTGATATATATATGTTCTTTCAATTAGCTGATCATCTTATAATTTGAGTTGCAAGAAGGTTTCAAGATCTGTCTAAAAGCTAAGCTAGGATGTATAAATTTTATATATACAATATGCAATGCATTTAGCTAATCTGAAAATAATTTAGTCATTATATCGACTTAGTTCTAATTTAGCCAATTTATAACATCAGAAAAAAATGAATTAATATATATATATATAAAATATGCATAAGGGATATGATAAATATCAGCTAATATAATAAGGTGAGGGATATATACAAATATTACCCACTTACTAATTGTTCGCCCGTAATGTTTTATATTGATATTTTACCAGAAACACTATTGGAGTTGAATTTTCTGTGAAAATATCAATATGACACAATTACCGTGATATATCAAATGAAAATCGTATCGCAAAATATTTAATATATTTTATTTAATAAGCTTGATATAGAAAAAAGCATTTTTTTAAAATATTACATTATTACAAGCATAAAAAAGTAAAAGTTAACATTTGAAAGTAACAATTATTAAATATCAGAATCTTACCTTTACTACTATTATTGAAAGGCATATTAATTGGTAAATCTTATGATTCAAGATTTATAATTTGTAACAGTTTCTTATTTTAATCTTGAATTTGTTGCTCAGGAATAAAATTTCCTTTTTAAATCAATATTTTTGGATGTTTTAGGTTGTAAACATATTAAATTTTACACAGTCTTCTTTGATCTCATTTAAAAAAATTGTAAAAAAAAAATTATTTATAGAAGTAAAAAAACAGTACTTTTTACAATAACATGTGACTTACATAATTCATGTGATTTTTCTTATTACGGGCGTTAGTAATCAGAAAATATAATAGTTATTTACCACTCAATCGCCAACATCATCAGAGTCACGGCTGCACTGTGATATCTAATGATATCTCTGATTTTGCGGTAAATAACTAATACATATCTCAGGTCCTAATTTAGAAAATCTGACTGCCATTATAATATTGAAATCAGCCTAAATTATGAGACGATAATCATAAAATCAAACTGGATTAAATTAACTCATATGATTTGATTGTAATACTTTCGTACATAAATAATAAATTAAGCTTTATTATTTTATTATTATCAACTGAAAAATCAAGAGCAAAGTACCAAAGCTTTAAAACCTAAAATAAAAAAATAGCAAATAAAAGAGATTAGAATCTGAACAAAAAGATTAAAAAAGAAGCTATAAAAAGAACTACTCTATATTTTCAAACTTTTCTACATTTTATTATTCAACATCTTAAATATATTCACAACTAATTTTTTTGGAAGAGCCAGCTAAGTTTATATCAAAGTCATCAATAAAATTAAAGGGTTTCATTTTTTGTAATTTTCTTTTTGAATTAATATGTTCTGATTTTTTGTGTTTTTCTATCATTACTAGTGTTAGAAAATATTTGTTACATACAGTGCAGCAAAGACAGGTATGCATTTCAGATAAAACAGATGGATAATGAGCATCATAAGGTAATAATTTTAATTTGTCATTATATTGTAAAATATGAATTAGATTAAGAAATGTCCATCTACCTTTTGTAACTAGTGGCAAAAAGCCATTATTTTCTGCAAGAAAAGCAGCTGATTCTTTATGTTTTACAGGATTATAACAAGTAATGTTATTGCATTTTTTAATATCAAGGCTATATTGACAAATTTGAGTATACCTCTCTATTCATTTCCAAGGAACTTCAGATTTTTCATTAATTTACTGTTCAAATATTTTATCTTTCATAAAGAGTATATTTGAAAATGAAGAAATATTATCTTCAACATATTGGATTAATACTGGTTTTTCAAAGATTTGATTTTAATTCCAAAGATTGCATAAGGCTTCTCTAGCATAACGAAAATTTCTTTTTGCAAGATCTTAATTTATGATCTTTTTTTGACTATTTAGATGAGAGCCAAATGTATTTATTTGTAAAGTTATGCTAACTAATTTTTCAGAAAAAGTACACATACTTCTTTTAACAGAATTATAAGCTGTTTGACCTGAAGTGTGACACTGGTCAAAATCAAAAAAATCAGACATGTGAAAATCAACCTAAAATCAGCCTAAATTTGACCTAAATTCAGCAAATTATCAAAAATCAGCCTAGCCAATTGGCATACATCAGAAATCAGCCTTAAATCAGCCAAAATTTGACCTATCTTATTTATAGCCAATTGGCATACTTATAGCCAATTGGTATATATCAAAATTTGACCTATCTTATTTATAATCAATTAACTTCTGATTAGAATAATAGGATATTATTGTTTCTTAGAAATGATGATATAATCGTATCTAAGGTACAATGGTTTTATCATTCCTAAGGAATAATGTATTTATTGTATCTTAAATATAATGATTTATCGTTTTTAAGGTACAATGGTATTATCATTCCTTAGGAATAATAGTTTTATCATTCCTTAAGAACGATTGTTTTATGGTTCTTTAGGAATGATTGTTTTATCATTTCTTAGGAATGATTGTTTTATCATTTTTTAGAAACGATTATTTTATTATTCCTTAGGGATGATAGTATTATCATACCTAAGGAATGATGGTTTTATTGTACCTAAAGAATGATGATTT